ATCGCCTCAATAATGTAACATTATGAGGAAACAGTTACAGCCCACTAAAAGGTCTAAATAGCGTTAAATCAGTTGCCTGCCTCAATAATGTAAACTAATCATAAAATATTTATTGCCCTACTGAAAGGTTTAAATATTGTAGATATTATCCCTTAGTCATCAGATCCAAAGTTTATGAGGAACCTCAGCACAAAGTTGCTGAAAAATTTCTAGCAAATATGGTTTAAGAACACAGAAAACAGAAGATTATTATGTCAAAGAAGAATCAATAATCAATATATTACTGTAAACTACAGATTTTTGTAATATATATTAACCAAATAACAGGGGTATTGACTGTCCACTGTGGAAAATAAAAATATTAAGTTTTGGCATCAAATAACTTAGTATGATATATAAATTCAAGCGAATTTAATAAATGACACTAAGCTCACCTGCAAAATTTGCTGTGCTCCATTGCATACTAGGCAATTTACAAGCATCAGCTATTGAGACAACACATGTCAGTCAGGGGTTACCCGCATTATCAATAAGAAAAATAGTGTGTCATCATCAATCCACAGCAACTAGATAATTAAGAGAATGTCAAAATCATGAAAATAAGCCCTGAGCATGTACATGTGCACTTCTGTCTAGCAACAAGGTGAAATGTGTGAAATCCAACAGTAAACCTTCAGCTTCTTGTCACTCCTTTCAGCTGCACATGAAAACCCAAAGCAACTTTACTAGCACATGCATATATTTTTCTTCAACTTTACTGGCACATGCATTTGGTCTAGTGGTAAGATTCGCTTTCGGTGCGAGAGGTTTGAGTTAGATTCTCTGAATGCCCAGTAAAATTAAGGAGGCATACAGTATGGATACATACCAAAATCTGGAAGTACAAAATCTAGATACCTAAAAGTGATATCGACACCTGCAACATAAAATTTCCCTTCAGTTAGAGACTTAATTACAGTGTGTACTATTACTTATGTGGAGTACATATTAGTTGAGTGTTAAAAATCATTATTAAATGGGCATTTGGTCTAGTGGTATGATTCCTGCTTTGGGTGCGAGAGGTCCCGAGTGTGATTCTCGGAATGCCCCATTCAAATTAAGGTGGTCATGAATCCTACTCTTTTTCTTTTCTTTTTCTTTCAACTATATATGAGTGGAACAAGGATGAAATATCATAAATGAAGTCAAATCAGTGCCTGAGTTGTAAAACAGATCTTCTCCAAGACACTGAGATCAATCAAACTCAGATTAGGTCAACAGATCGCAACCGAGGTCATACCATGAATATTAAACAGTATGAATGTATGTCAAGAAAAGCATTAGCAATAGCAGCATCACTAGAAATGATCCTTTGCGAACTTACACGTTGTACAGCTTGTTATTTTTCCACAACTCAGATTGCAATTTAAAAAGGTAGTTCGCAAAGCATGCACATAGGAACATTCTATTGTCGAAAACTAAAGAACTGATGTTAATGGTAGCTTCTGAGATCAAAGCTCCCTTTTTGAAATGTGCTCCCAGAAGCATATATGCATGTCTTAAGGCTTACTGGAACAGTTTTTATACAGAAAAGGCAAGAAATTACAAGCTCCAAGGAACAAAATAATCAACAATAGGGCATTTGGTCTAGTGGTATGATTCTCGCTTTGGGTGCGAGAGGTCCCGAGTTCGATTCTCGGAATGCCCCAATTAAATTAAGGTGGCCTTGAATTCTACTGTTTTTTTTTCCGTCAACTAATTTCAGCGAAACAAGGATGAAATATCATAAATGAAGTCAACCCAGTCATTATTCAAAAGTGTAAAACATATCTTATCCAAGACACTGAGATGGATCAAACTCAGGCTATGTTAACAAATTGCGCCAGAGGTCATACCATATATATTAAAAAGTATGAATACATCTCAGGAAAAGCTTTAGCAGCAGCAACATCACTGGAAACAATCCTTCACAAAATCGATCACATTGAGCATTATACACAAGTCTATTACCTTGCACAGCTTAATATTTTTTCATGAGTCAAAGATTGCAATTTTAAAAGGTACTTCACACCACATAGGAACGTATCGTTCAAAACTAGAGAATTGTCTGCTCCATTTGATTGCATACGATGAATAGATCAAAGAGCTTTGTGAAATGTGTTTCTAGAAACATACTAGACAAAAGGCTAACTAGATCAGTTTATCTACTGGAAAAAGCAATAGGCAAATTACAGCATCAAGGAACAAAACAATCAGGTAAAGGGGGCAGAACTGGAAGCTCAAGTCACTGATTCACGAAAGGAAAGAGGAGTCCATGCAGCCAGAGATTTAATTGAGAATTTACAATTGCGTTTAATTTGTAATTAGGTTTAATTGTTTAGAAATTTGTTAGTTGATTAAGAGAGGAAGTTGGGGGAATTTTCTTGAATAGGTGTGGTGCCAGTACACTACAAATAAAGGGGGGAGGGAGTTTTATTGTTCATTCATCCATAGAGAGAGAATGAGAAAATTGGGAGAGATCTCAGGCCTCTTAATGCCAGGTAAGAGTATCCCTGTAACATTTCATATTATTTCCTTTACAGTTTACCAATTATAGTATCATTTACAATTCCACGTTACTGAGTTTCTGTTGTACCAACAAATCACAATTTCATTCCTCAAATAAGTAATTCGGTTGGGAGCCTATCAATATCATAAAGGAAGTCAACTCAGTCCTTGTACCAAAGTGGAACCAAAGGTCTTCTCCAAGACACTGAGATGGATCAAACAAGGGCCAGGTCATATTGCGTGGCCGAGGCCATACCATAAATATTAACAAGTATGCATACATGACAATTGACAAGAAAAGCATTAGTAGCAGCAGCAACCCCACATTCAATCCTACACAAAGTTATAGCACATTGAGCATTATAACAAAGTCTATTACCTTGCACAGCTCGTTATTTTTTTCACAATTCAAATTGCAATTGAAAAAAAGGAAATTCACTACTCATGCACATGGCCAATTTTTATCATCCAAAATTAGAGAACTTTATGTTAATTGCAGCTTCTAAGATCAAATCTCCCTTTGATTGCCTATGGGGAATAGATCAAGGAATTTTGAGAAATATGAATTTAGAAGCATAATAGCCAAAAGCTATGATGCACGGATACTCCTACTAGGAAAGCATGGTGCCAATATGAGTCATATAGTGTGACACCCTGACAATCCTCACACGCTCAAGAACATGTATCAAACAAGCCATGTCTTGTCCCATTTTTTAGATTACCAACGAAGGATACTTTAGAGACACCTCTCGGGCAAGTGTCTGACATGCCATGTAATATGACCTGTATCAAAAATTATAAAAATAAAGTTATACCGTATAAATTATAAATTTTAAAGAATTTAGGTCGGCATGTCCTACTTTTTTGAAAAATCATGTGTCAGAGCATTCATGTTGTGCAACTTAGGTCAAAAGGGTAATAGAACAGTTTAAATACAGAAAAAGCAAGAAACAACTTACAAGATCTAAGGAACAAATAATCAACTACAACAGGGCATTTGGTCTAGTGGTAAGGAACAGTTTTTATACAGAAAAGGCAAGAAATTACAAGCTCCAAGGAACAAAATAATCAACTATAGGGCATTTGGTCTAGTGGTATGATTCTCGCTTCGGGTGCGAGAGGTCCCGAGTTCGATTCTCGGAATGCCCCATTCAAATTAAGGTGGTCATGAATCCTGCAATTTTTTTTTCTTTCAACTATATTTAGCGAAACAAGGATAAATATCATAAACGAAGTCAACTTAGTTATCATGCCAAAATTGTAAAAGAGGTCTTCTCCAAGAAACTCAGATTGCAAAAGGGGTAGGTCAACAGATTGCGACTGAGGCCATAGCATAAATATTAAGAAGTATGGATGAATACATGACAAGGAAAGAAGTAACCTACAAATAATCCTACACAATATTACACCACATTGAGCATTATCCTAAAGTCTATTACCCTGAACAACTAGTTATTTTTTCAACACTCAAATTGCAATTTAAAAGAGAAACTTCAGAAGTCACAACTCATATGCTCGTTGGAACTTTTGATCGTTCCAAACTAGAGAACTGACTGCTAATTGTAGCTTCCAAAATCAAAGCTGCCTTTGATTACCTATGGGGAATAGATCAAAGAGTTTCGTAAATGTGCTTCTAAAAGCAAAAAAGTCAAAGGCTGACTAGAACAGTTTCAGAAAAAGCAAGAAGCAAATAACTAGCTCCAAGGAACAAAATAATCAACTACAACAGGGCATTTGGTCTAGTGGTACCGAGTTCGATTCTCGGAATGCTCCATTTTTACAAATTATTTTAGTCAGCCACAGATCACTTTTTTATTTCCTTGTCAACCAGGACAGATCTGCTCGTAAAAAAAAGAATCAAGACTGTTAAAAAAAAAAAAAAGGTTTCCAGCACTGATATCACAAGTGTTGAAGCTAGATTTAATAATGTAACCTTATTATCACTTTTTTATTTCATTGTCAACCTGGACAGATCTGCTCGTAAATAAAAGAATCAAGACTGTAAAAAAAAATGGGTATCAAGCACTGGTATCACAAGTGTTGAAGCTAGATTTAATAATGTAACCTTATTAATTATTAAGTCATAGTTGTACAATTACATCAATAATGTAACATTATGAGGAAATAGTTACTGCCCACTGAAAGGTGTAAATATTTCTGATTCAGTTGCCTGCCTCAATAATGCAACTGACTCAGAAAATAGTTACTCAGCTGCCTAACTCATTTCCAAAGTTCTATATAATTCATGTTTCTGGTCAGTTCTGGAGTCATCAGATATAAGGACCTCCGCACAAGGGTATTTTCAGGACGCAAATACAATTTCCTTCTGATAAGAAACCATATATGGATTAAGAATATAGAAAATGGAAGTCTATTACTTCGAGGACTCAGGATGCAGAGTATTTTTCCCGTATAATTTGGTAATATATAACAACCAAATAACAGAGATACTGGCTGCTCACTGGAAATATTAAGTTTTTGCACTGAATAACAAAGCCAGAAATTAAATCACGATTAATCAATGGTAGTAACACTGACCTGCACAATTCGCTCAGCTCCATCGAATAATAGGAAATTTACAAGTATAAGAATAAACAATGCATGCCAGCCAGGGAGTACCTGTATCTTCCATAAGAAAAATGACTCCAGTTGTCTGTTTCAATTACATCATCAATTATGGATCTTAGAGCGCACTTTATCCAAAGTCACTCAAATAATTTTAACAATGACAATTCACACATAAACCTTGATTCTCGCTTTGGGTGTGGTAGGTCCTGAGTTCAATACTCGGAATGTCCTGGTCAAATTGAGGAGGTCATGAAATCTACAAATTTATTTTTGTTTCTTTCAATTATATTTGGGGGAAATGATGAACGAACTAATGAAATCGAGGTAAAACAGGTCTTCAAGAATGTGGATCAAACTCAGGCAGGACAACATAATGTGACTGAAGCCATGTCGGAAATATTAAAGTAAGAATACATCTCAGGAAAAAAATTACCAGCAACACCATTAACAACAACAATGGTAATAAAAATCATATAGATAAAATAAGTCTTCTATTGTAATCAAGTAAATTGTGCATAAACTGCATTAAACGTGAAGTTATAGATCCATCAGAAAATTAAACCCCATTGAGCACTACACCAAAGTCAATTACCGTGCATAGCTCATTATTTTCCCAAAAATCAAAGCAAATATAACAACTGAAATTTCGATTTAAAAACGGAAATTTTCAACTCATATGCAGTTATCACTCTTCATAAACAAAAACTAGAGCATTCTCTGTTAATAGCAGCCTCTGTTATAAAAAGGTGCTTTTGATTGCCTATAGGATATAGGTCAAACAGTTTTGCTAAAGGTGGTTCTAGAATCGTAACAGTCAAAAGGCTGGGCTAGAATAGTTTATATACAAAAAAGGCAAGGGTTAACTTGTGGAATTTGCCGTCTAATGGTATGATTCTAGCTTGGTGCGATAGGTCCAAACCATTTAGATCACATCTATTAATGTCCGTTTAGTTATTGGATGGGTGGCTTTTCATCAGAACTCCATTTACACCCAATCCATCTAATCTGCCACAACATCTAACCATACAATCAACAAACTTCAAATCACTCCTCCAAAAGAATTCAATACAGAACCTAAATGGTTTAACTAATTGAGAAGATGACTGAAATGACAACTAAAAAAACAATGATGATGAGAGAAGTTCATAGAAACTCGGTCACAGTTATAGCTTTACCCCCAATTTTCAGAACAGGTAGCCTTCAGAAACTAATCTAATCATTGCAAGATACTTTAAAACCCTGCAAAATACTTCCTTGGGAAGGTAGTCATCGACATGGTTTTTGTAAAACAGGCAAGTACATGATGCAGGGAGTGGACTCAGTAAAATGCAAACCATCTGGGTTCAATGACCACTAACATTCCATGGATTGAAGTTGGGATTTTGATTCTCAGAAACCCAAATTTATTTCTTGTTAGTTCATTGAATTTTACAGTCCGATGCTTATTAATACATAAGTCCCAGCAGAAAAAATCTACTAGTTAAAATATGATCAGCATCTGGCAAACAATTTCTAAAACAGTACCCAAGAAGTGGGAAATTAACAGTACTTACACTGGTAGAAACTAGTCGTGCATGTACTTAAAAATCTGTAGTCTGCTCTACAATTTTAATTCGAGGAACTCACAAAACCCCTGCTCGTTGCTACTCAACTTGCTGATTTAATTGGGAAGTAATGATACATTAAGCTAAAATAGGGGCAGTCATTTACTTGAGCATTAACGACCGTATAAAATACTATGTAGATAAAGAATATAATATATCCAAGAATTAATCACCAGATAAAATAATAATATAAAGGGTCAAAAACTGCACCGAATCAACCCCAATAACAGCAGCAAAAACATTGAAGCGGAAGATTACTAAGGGAACTACTACAAACACGTAAAATTCAGCAGTAAAATGTAGAATAAATCGAAATCGTGCACGGTATAAACACTGATATGAACTGGTTTTGTAAGATTATGCTGAAGCTATTTTGCTGCAAATCGCTCCTTCTTGAGGAAACCCTCGTTCAATTTGGTTGGCGAAAAACACAGAAATAGAAAAATAGTGGCGCAATTTTGAGTTCTCTCTAGCCGTTTTATGGCGGTAAAAGAGCATTAATTTGGGGAATGTTTGGGAGAGCGAGTGTTAGGTGGTCTCAGGTGAGGGAAGAATGGGAACTATTATATTATGATTGAAGAGAAATAATATAATAATAAAATAAAATATAGTACACACGAAATAAACAATCACTTATACAGGTAAAAGTTGTATATTTTTCATTCACGAGAAAATTCTGTTAATCACAAGCGATAATTCGCACGTCTTTTATGTGTACAATAGTTTATTCGTGAAATTTGAAATTCGTATAGGTGTACATTAGTTCATACATGAAGTTCGAAATGTGCTTCTTGAATTTTATCAGACGGGTCCATTCCGAATTGCCTGATCTTGGAAGAATTCGCGGCAGTGTGGCGGATTTTCACCTCATAATCTCCGTGAAAGAGTGAAGTGTTGAAGTAACCATAAGCATCGGTGGTGCCTAGCAAACCTTCGTGCCTCCATACCTTCATTATATTGTCGACCGCATTCCCAGTTGGCAAGTTACTAAAATTTTTATCTGTGAAGCACATTTTCCAGCATCCTTTGGTACTCATTGATCCCCACATTATTATGCCTTGAATTGCTGGATGAGCATGAAACTCCTTTATGAGTTGAGTTAGGTACATTGCCTGCAGAAAGAAGAAAGTTAGAGTCGATTACCTGAATCATTTTACGTCACTCATATGTTCAAAGAATTGAGTGATAGAAGATAATTCATAATGAAAATTTTTACCTGTTTAGGTCTATGGGAAACATCGAGTTCTGTAATCCAGATTGGTAGTTTTGTAGAAGCAAGAATATCCAGTGAAGCCCGAACATAAGGTAGATTTGGTGTGTCAAAATGTGATTCGAGCCCAATTCCAAGAGGCCCGTGATAACCTTGTTCTCTAATCAATTTGATTTTCTCTAAATACTTAGCCGGAGTCGCATCTGTATCTGAAGGACGTTCAAGTGTGTTGTAGTCGTTCAGAAAAGGAATTGCTTGCTGATCAATTTGATAAGCCCTTTTCAGGAAAATAGTTGATGCATTTCTCCCCATTCTCTCTTCGTAGTACGAAAAATGGAGATTTTCATTGATAACGTCCCAATGAATAACTTGGCCTGAGTAGTGTTTCATTATAGAATTCATTCTTTTTTCAGTGGCCAATGGTAGATCTTTTCTTGGAAGCCTTTTTACCCATGAAGGTTGATACCTAGGATCATCCCATAATACGTTGTGACCTCGTACTAAGATGTTCTTCTTCTTGGCAAATTTTAGCATTGTATCAGACTGGGAATAGTTTACTTTCCCCGGACCTCTCTCAGTCGAGTACCACTTCATTTCATTCTCAAATACTGTGTACTTGAACCTTGACAGAAACCATTCTTGATAGGCCTTGTTCTCCAAAATGAACTTACTAATTGCATTGCCAAATGGAAATGTCTGTTGTATCTGTTTCACAGAGATTTTTGCATTTTCTAATGGTCGGCCTTGAGAATCAACAACTTTGAAATTCACTTGACTCTTTCTGATCTGCAAATATGTTATACGTAAGGTATAGTCGATTTATAATAAATGGGGAGAAGAAAATCATACTAAAGTTAGATTTAAAGTTGCTATAATTTGAATATAATGCCACCTTCTCAATGCTTTGATCTTGATGGGAATCCCATTCCTCTTGAGTAAATGGTTGCAACGAAATACTATCGGCCCATATCTCGGCTGTAGTATCATTGGCCTAAAATGGGAAAAAAACCATAACCCAAATCACTAAAATCCGAAGGAAATAATCCCGACGAGAAAGCAAATATCTTAAAATTAGGGGCTTCAAATAGGTCAGGCTGGCATTTTTCAAGAAAATCCTGGCCTTGCAAAATCAGAAAATGGGAAATTTTCTGTACCTGGAAAAAGAGTTCAACCGGACTGGAAGCATCGACAACGATGCCACCCTTGAGCATCGACCAGCAGCCCTGTCGAGCCATAACCCATCCAGAAGGCCGGTCCCCAGTTCTTGTCTTGAATATTGCAGCAATGTGAGCCTGTCCATGGCTTACCTGTAACCAAGCTGCAAAAAGAACCCCATGCGCACCCAAAATAAGTCATAATTTGAATTTATTTTTGTTTCAATATTAAGGTAAAGAATCAGTTTCACATTTCCTTCTTTTTTGGAAGAATTTATACCAGATAAAACATAAAGTTTTTCCTCTTCTAAGTGAAACTTTTGTGAAAAACTGTCCTGGTGTCCACTTCTGTCTGAAGCAACAATGTATTTGTTTCCATCCTCAGATTCTTTCTGTTCTAATTTTACATCTCCAAAGGGTGTCCAGCCCTTGAGTCCATTTTCCAGTTCTGGATTCAAAACCATGCCTCCAGAATACTGAGGTTCCATTGGCTTTGCCAAACACTGAAATAATTTATTTTTACCTCAAATTAATCCAAGAATAGACTGATTATTTTATTCTGAAGTGATATTGGATCCAAATGGGAGCTTGCCTCATTAGTGTATGTGTGATCATAACGCAACGAATACGCTTGTAGACCTGGAGTTTGCATACACCAAAAATTGGTAAACTGAGTCACATAACAATAAGTTTGTCAATATATACACCAAAATATCTCTACTTCTAATTAATTTTATGTCCTCCTTTAAGGATTTTGGCATTTTGAGCAACAAAATAACAGAAAATAAAACACGTGATGAATCTTCTATCTTGAAAATAATGCCAAAATGCATAAAAAATTTACGAACCTGAATAAACAAGAAATAACAGTATCAGGAGAAGCGCATTTTTTCCCTGCACAGAGTTCATGATAATTGAGCAGTCCACTGCTTCAAAATGAAAACTCGTTAGAATTAGGTCGAGAAAGATAAAAAGAAAGGAAGAAAGATCTGATATCAAAAGCTTTTCAAGTTTTACAAGAGGACTGTATTTCAATAGAATGGAAAAGACTATGAGTTTGTTCATGTATATATACACACTTCTATTAAGTCCTCAAGAATTCATTGGATAGCCTATACAAAGTAACAATTTTATTGCTTATTTTTTGTATTTTTCATGTGACATATTTGGCTTGGGGGTTGCATATGATATGATCGAATCTTACCTTAATAGTCGATACATGTGTATCGATCGTGCTCTTAACATTAATGCCTCATATGGTTACCGCTTTGTTTTAATTATTACATTTTCCTAATTAAGCTATGAGATGCTATGGATCTTCCTTTTCTATTTGGAGAATGTGGTGCATATCAGGATGTGAAATTAAAGAATATTAGTGCAACGAATATGCTAGTAGACCTGTAGATCGCATACACCAAAAATTGGTAAACTGAATCAGATAACAATACGTTTGTCAATATATACACCAAAATATCTCTACTTCTAATTAATTTTATGTCCTCCTTTAAAGATTTTGTCATTTTAAGGAACAAAATAACAGAAAATAAAACACGTGATGAATCTTCTATCTTGAAAATAATGCCAAAACGCAAAAAAAAATTACGAACCTGAATAAACAAGAAATAACAGTATCAGGAGAACCACATTTTTTCCCTGCACAGAGTTCATGATAATTAAGAAGTCCACTCCTTCAAAATGAAAACTCGTTAGAATTAGGCCGTGAAAAAGAAAAAGAAAAAGAAAGGAAGAAAGATCTGATATCAAAAGCTTTTTGATTTTTACTAGAGGACTGTATTGCAATAGAATGGAAAAAAACTATGGGTTTGTTCATGTATATATATACACTTCTATTAAGTCCTCAAGAATTCATTGGATAGCCTATACAAAGTAACAGTTTTATTGCTTATTTTTTGAATTTTTCATGTGACATATTTGGCTTGGGGTTGCATACGATATGATCGAATTTTACCTTAATAATTGATACAGATGTGTATCGATCATGCTCTTAACATTAATGCCTCGTATAGTTACCTCTTTGTTTTAATTATTACATTTTCCTCATTAAGCTATGAGATGCTATCAATCTTCCTTTTCTGTTTGGAGAATGTGGTGCATATCAGGTTGTGAAATTAAAGAATATTAATACGCTGCTCAAGTTTCCCATCTTTTGATCATTGATCAACGAATACGCTTGTAGACCTGTAGATCGCATACACCAAAAATTGTTAAACTGGGTCACATAACAATAAGTTTGTCAATAAATACACCAAAATATCTCTACTTCTAATTAATTTTATGTCCTCCTTTAAGGATTTTGGCATTTTGAGCAACAAAATAACAGAAAAAAAACATGTAATGAATCTTCTATCTTGAAAATAATGCCAAACCGCATAAAAAATTTACGAACCTGAATAAACAAGAAATAAAAGTATCAGGAGAAGCGCATTTCTTTCCTGCACAGAGTTCATGATAATTGAGCAGTCCACTGCTTCAAAATGAAAACTCGTTAGGCCGTGAAAAAGAAACAGAAAGGTAGAAAGATCTGATATCAAAAGCTTTTCGAGTTTTACCAGAGGACTGTATTGCAATAGAATGGAAAAGACTATGAGTTTGTTCATGTATATATATGCACTTCTATTAAGTCCTCAAGAATTCATTGGATAGCCTATACAAAGTAACAGTTTTATTGCTTATTTTTTGTATTCTTCATGTGACATATTCAGCTTGGGGTTGCATATGATGTGATCGAATTTTACCTTAATAGTCGATACAGATGTATATCGATCGTGCTCTTAACATTAATGCCTCGTATAGTTACCGCTTTGTTTTAATTATTACATTTTCCTCATTAAGCTATGAGATGCTATGGATCTTCCTTTTCTGTTTGGAGAACGTGGTGCATATGAGGTGGTTAAATTTAAGAATATAAATACGCTGCTCAAGTTTCCCATCTTTTGATCATTGATGAAGCATAATATGGACATTAAATATGAACAAGTCCTTTACAGGTGCCGTGTTGGGAGCACCTGTGTGGGTGATTTTTCACATTAATTTAACGCATATGGTTCGTATGTCATTTATATTATGTTGAAGGCTTCAATGGTAAATATGAGTTACATTGTAAATTTGTGAGACACTGTCAAAATAAAAATAGAAGTTCATGAAATACCTTGGTAACATATTCGTCATCACCCTCTACATAAATTATTATTAGAGAATTGATAAACAATGGTAAATTTAAGACGCCTAAATGATATGTTGGAACAGTGGAAAATCAGGTCGATACACACCTCAGACTCTTATGGTCATCGAAGGGTAATAAGAAGAACTGTTGATAGCCTACCCTAGAATGCACATGATTTCATGGGAGTTTTTGGTGATTTAAAATCAGGGTTGGTAAAACAATCACATTAGCCCTTTATAAAGCGAAACGTTGGAAAACAAAAATAAAACATCTGATCAACAAACCATGGATTTCTATGAATACTGATTTGGATAGAAAATGAAAGCGTCATAGAAATGTTGTGGATTTCGTAGAATAAAGAAAGTTCGGTGGCATGTGACACATCGAAATTTTTTTATCTAATACTACTATAAATTTAAATATTCCTTTAAATAAAGAAATAGCTGTTTAAAATTATTATTATCATCAACAACAGATCTTTAAATATTTCTCTATTAATGGGTACTTTCAAATAAATAGATACACACGTGTGTGTAATGGACTGTATTTAAGCTGAGCCCTCCGTTCAGGCTTTTCACCATTTACTCATCTCAGATTCGTTATATTTAACTAATTATATGTAACAATCATAATAATCATGAAAGAAGAAAGTACTACACTTATATATATACTAGTTGAGGCCCATGCAATGCATGGGCTGTCTTATTTTTGAGGTTATGTTAGCGTATATATAATAGATGAAATTAGGAAAATGAATTTTATTGAACAAAGTAAATTTACATATGATATATTGTGTGATAATTTGTTGATGATTCGTACTGAAATGTTATATTCAATGTAGGAAAAATATTTACAAGTAGTCCATGTAATGAAGATTTAGCACTAAGCAACTGAAAGAAAATTATTTTAATATAAAGATACAATAATATAGTTTATAGGAATAGACATTTAAACACCAACACAATAATGCTTCCTAGTTCAACTCAAAAGATGGGAAGACTTATTTCTAATTCTAAACATTATTAATAATAAAGGTAGAAGTTAGTGTCAAACAGACCCCAAATGTTATCATGTTCATCTTATTTTTTTATATGAAAGATAAATCTTGGTTAAGATCCAGAAAAAAAAAAATAGAGCACCTAATGTCCTCTTGTACTTTCTATACAGAAAAAGATTAAAACACGATGCAAATGCCAATGGCACGACATGCTAAGATATGCACTGTTCTCTTCTCAACTGCAAATGATTCTTTTCGACAATAAAGGAGATCAACAAGCATAGCCACAAACCTGTTTGAACATAAAAGTAAATTAACATTAGAAAGAACAAGAAGAAAAGTTGAAGATTGAGAGTGTATTATTCTTTACATATACTTATTAATGTATGAAACATATAATTAAAATATTCATAAAACCTTTGTACGGCCTGAGAAATAGTACAACACGCGAGAAAGTAGAAATCTGCTATATTCCTTAGTTGAGGTTTCTTGCGATTAGGTTTGTTGGGTCGCATTGAATATTTGTTGGAAGTTTCCCGAACCCCCTGTGATCTCATCATCAGCTCTACTGGAAGTACATATTATGTTGGATGATACCAATGACCAGCTGAAGCTTCATAAGAAAAGTTTACCAATGAGGGAAAAGCATGAAGAATCTAATAAAGTTACAATCAAGTTAGTTGGGCGATTCAATTAGTCTTGATGAGGAAAACAGAATATGTGTTGCTGGCACAAATGAAGGTCTAAGGTTATAAAAAAACCATCCATTCTTCTCACAGAACATGTATTTCATCTATAACATGAGAGTATAGGTCCTCTTTTCCTTTGGTTTTAATCTCTCAAATTTGATTTAAAGAGAGAGACAATAAAGGATCACAAATATTCAGTGCTATGCTATAATTGCAATACATGTCCAACAATGACAGAATCAACTCAAGAATATGAAGTATCAAACTGTTAAGAATATGAAGATATATCAAAATATTATCTGTACAGATTTTTAGTGTGTTACAAAAGTAAACACGTATTACCCTATTGTATAGAATCTTATCTATAGGGACTTGACGTGTAAATATTATTAGTCTTGTGTATATATGTAATCCCTAGACTTACTTATGAAATAAGAAATAAACCTTTCTCTCTCTCTTGAATATTGATTACATGGTATCAGAGCTACAATCGCGTTGCCAACGCTAGGGTTCCGTTGAGCTACAATCGCGGTCGCCGGCACTAGGGTTTTGTTGAGCTGCAGTTGCCGTTGCTCTCTGTCATCGGGTGTGTCCACTTTTCTTCCTCTCTTGCTCTCTGGCCATCGAGTGGGTCTCACTTTTCTGTGTTTCAGCAGTTGCAGCTGCAGCGCCGCCACCTGCGCCGGCTAGTCTGCTCACCTCCCACCGTTCAACCTTCAGTCGGAGTGTTTAATCTCCAGAATTTCGGTGTTGGGTTGCTGTCCCTTTTTTTTTAGGCAGGTTCAGCCTGTTTGCCCAGTTCCAGCTTGGTTTAGTTCAGCCTGTTTGCTGTTTCTTTTCTGCCCAACTCCAGCTTGGTTGTACTTCAGTTTGGAGAGGGAAGGAGATTGTCTGTTGGGTTGTTCTGTTTTCTCCGGGGATAGCAGGTTCGGGTTCTTTCAAGTATCTTAACTTTGTTGTGATCTTTTGTTCTGGGATTTGCTTGATATTTGGGAATGTGGAGGAAAAGACTTCGGTTGTTGTGTCTGACGTGATTCCTATAATGTCAAAAATCACGGAACATAAACT